AGGAGAGCTGGAGAGGGACTGGGGATGAGGGCCTGGAATGCCAGGCCCCAGGGAATGGATCCCAGTGGGAAAGGGGAGATTTGGGGGGGATAACGGGGGATGTGCCGGGATGTTGCTGCAGCAGCTCCGTGGCCATGGAAACAGCTGCAGGAGAGCAGCAGGACTCCAGGAATGATGGATCAGGATTCCAGGAATGATGGATCAGGATTCCAGGAATGAGGGATCAGGATTCCAGGAATGATGGATCAGGATTCCAGGAATGAGGGATCAGGATTCCAGGAATGAGGCCAGCATGGATGTGCCTGGAGATTCCCGGAATTTCCCTTTCTTCTCCGTCCTTTTCTCGCTCCGTGACTCTGGGGCCGCATCCCAAATTCCACGGATCCATCCCGGCCCTGCCCGGGGACGTTCCTGCCTCTCCTGGGCTTTTGGAGGGCAGGGAATTATTCCAGGTTTTCCCAGTGGGAATGTTTTTTGGGTTTCAAACCAACCCTGCCCGATGAGAGGGTGGGTGGGGAGTGGGGGCTGATCCCAAAGTATTCCCAGGGAATTTGTGTGGGATGAGGGATTGGCCACTTCTTCCCTCATCAGCACACTCTTAATTCCCTATAAATTCCCAATTAAAAAGGATTTTCCAGGTGTTTTCAGGGCTGGGAATGTCCAGGAATTCCCAGGAGCCGCTTCCCTCGGCCTGTGACTGTGGATGTGGGTGGGGGCTGTTCCCAAATTCCCAAAGAATCCCTGAGGGATTTGTGTGGGATGAGGGATTGGCCACTTCTTCCCTCATCAGCACACTCTTAATTCCCAATATAAAAAGGATTTTCCAGGTGTTTTCAGGGCTGGGAATGTCCAGGAATTCCCAGGACTCTCATCCCTCGGCCCGTGACTGTGAATGTGGGTGGGGGCTGTTCCCACATTCCCAAAGAATCCCTGAGGGATTTTTGTGGGATGAGGGATTGGCCACTTCTTCCCTCATTATCACACTCTTAATTCCCAATTAAAAAAGGATTTTCCAGGTGTTTTGGGGTCTGGGAATGTCCAGGAATTCCCAGGAGTTGCATCCCTGGGCCTGTGACTGTGGATGTGGGTGGGGGCTGTTCCCATATTCCCAAAGAATTCCTGAGGGATTGGCCACTTCTTCCCTCATCAGCACACTCTTAATTCCCAATTAAATAGAGGATTTTCCAGCTGTTTTGGGGTCTGGGAATGTCCAGGAATTCCCAGGAGTTGCATCCCTGGGCCTGTGACTGTGGATGTGGCTGGGGGCTGTTCCCATATTCCCAAAGGATCCCATGGAAGTGCCCAATCCCTCGGGATCAGGGCTCTTCCCACATCCAGGGAATCTGGGGCACAATTAATTCCTCCAACATTTTAATTAAGGCCCCGTTTTCCCGAGGGGACAATCGTTCCCTAATTACAGGATCCGACTCCTACAGGAAGAGATGCAGCCAAAAATTCGGGAATTTGGGGGGTTGAGGGAGGATCTCCAGAGGTTTGGAGCCGGCACATCCCTGGGAAAGGTCACCTGGAGCTCGTCCTTGTCCCCAGGCGGGAATTTTTGCTGTGCTGAGTCACCGGTGAGGAGCAAATCCCGGGATCAGCTTTGGCTCTGGCATTCCAAGAAGGACATGGAAGGGCTGGAGAGTGTCCAGGGAAGGATCTGGAGCAGCAGGAATATCTGAGGGAGCTGGGAAAGGGGCTCATCCCGG